CCTTTCAGGACAGCCAAGGACACTTACAGCATTAAAGCATCGTAGAAGAATGTGTGAAATCACAGATTAGAGACAAGCAGACATGAGTCACAGAGCGTGGATTACAGATGAAGATAAGATGGACATGATGATCTAAAGAGATGTTTTCAGAGCAGACTTGAACACAGGAAGAGAGGAGGTGTTTCTTAGGTCAGGTGGTGCAGAGTTCCAGAGGAGAGGAGCTGAACAGGTGAAGGTCCTGCTCCCCATGGTGGAGAGGTGGGCAGAGGGTACCTGGAGGTTTAGGTAAGAAGAGGATCTGAGAGAGCGGGAGGGGATGGAGATGTGTACGAGGTCGGACATGTAAGGAGGGCCAACATGGTGGATAGCTTTAAACACAAGAAGACTTTTGAAGATGATGTGTGATTTGACTGGGAACCAGTGGAGCTGCTGCAGGACTGGGGTGAACTGGGGTGATGTGGTTATGGGAGCAGGTTTGGGTGATGACATGTGCAGCTGAGTTCTGGACCGTCTGAAGCTTATGGAGGGATTTGTTGGGGAGGCCAAAGAGAAGAGAGTTACAGTAATCGATCTGTGAGGTCACAAGAAGGATGGCTGTGGTGCAGGGAGTGAGAGAAGGACGGAGAYGGTTGATATTTCTGAGGTGGAAGTAGGCAGACTGAGTAACATTACTGATGTGAGCAGTGAAGGAGAGAGTGGTGTCGAGGATGACACCAAGACTCTTGACCTGAGGGGAGGGGCTTAGCAGACAGTTGTTGATAGGGATGAGGAGATTATTAGATTCTGAGATGTTATTTTTARTGCCGACAAGAATGATTTCTGTTTTATCACTATTCAGCTGAAGGAGATTGTCTGAAAACCAGTGACTGAGTTCATTGAGACAGTCAGAGAGGATGGAGGGAGGCTGTGTGGAGTTTGGCTTGGTTGACAGGTAGAGCTGTGTGTCATCGGCATAACAATGGAAACTGACACCAAACTTGCGGAAAATGTCATCAAGAGGAAAATGAAGATGAAGCAAATGAGGAACACGACAAATAACTAACATTATCAGTTTTCAATGAAAAATCCATTTTGAATCCAATCGTGGCCCAAAAATCAGAATCAAACCGAATCATGAGAAAGTAAAAGATTCTCACCTCTAACCAGGTTGTCGATTTCTGCCCAGGTTCGAGATCTGCATCTTAATGAGGTTTTACCTGGTTAAATAAAGGAAAGAACAAAATAATAGTTAATTTCTGAAGATCAGGTTCATTTTCAGCAATAAGCCCAATATCATCTGCATACAATAATATACAGACTTTTATATCACCTACTGTCACTCCCACACCTGCCTCTTTAGCTACCGTTACCAAATCATTAATACAATGTGAAGAGTAGAGACAGGACATCTCCTTGTTTAACACCATGTGGTGTTAAAAACCAGCTGTTCTGTAATCATTTACCTGAACACAAGATTCAGTTTTTAAAGAATTATAGAATTTACCATCGTCCTGCTTTTAATAACTGTAAACAGAATTATTTGATTTGAAAATCTACAAAACAGTAACTTTGCTTYTTGCTTCCTAGCATTAAATATTGTGGTTTAAAGAGAAAATAAGATCTATACAGGCTCTTTTCTGTCTAAAACAATTTTGATCCTCTGCTAAAAAATTGCGAGATTATTATTACAAATATGGCTCTCTGCTGATAAGCAGAAGAACAGAGGAAATACAGTAAAGCTGATGTCATTGGGTCAGTTGGAAAACTTATAGTTTGACCTAAATAAGAACAGATTAATAAACATCTTTTATTTCCATCAAACGTGTGAAAATGATTTATAAACTTGATTTTGCCAGTAGTAAGGCCCAAAGAAACTTCTGACTCTTTAGTGTGATGGAGGTATTCTGCATGTTTYAATGTGAACACAACCCTGTTAGAAACATTCACAAAATCTTTATCCTCAGTTCAGTTCATTGTTTGTCTGATTTGGCTTAAACCGGGCTGTAACCCTAAACACATTACCTGCTTTTCWGAAGCTGAGTGGTGGTGAGGTTTCTAGGTTGACTTTGGTTTTGTACAATGATCCAATCAGAGTGATCTGCACAGATCAACTAAACTTATGAGACAAATGAAAGAAATTACAAATGTATACACACATCCTGACAGGTAACTGTCTGTCTCCACCCACCTGTCTCCACTTAGTGAACTGGAGCGTCTCAGCAGTCTAGTGGGCCGTCCTTCAGAGTCCCATCCTCTCCATAACAGCGGGCTGCTGAGTCTGGACCCAGTTCAGGATAAAACTCCTCTGTACTCGCAGCTGCTGCAGGCCTACAAGTGGTCCAACAAGGTGACACCTAGCCTCACACAGTCCACCTGAAACTGTTACCATAACAACACATCATCTCACAGTGCACCTGTCACCATGACAACACGTTCTAACACTGTCCACCTGATGCTGTTCCATCATCAGGACCTCTTTCAGTCATACCTGAGCTGATGGCTGTTTGTTTTTCTTATTTATGTCTTATTTCAGGGGTGCCCAACCAGTCCATCATTGACTGGTTACCAGTTGATGGTTGACTGGTTACCAGTCCATCATTGACTGGTTACCAGTTGATGGTTGACTGGTTACCAGTTGATGGTTGACTGGTTACCAGTCCATCAGTGACTGGTTACCAGTTGATGGTTGACTGGTTACCAGTCCGTCATTGACTGGTTACCAGTTGATGGTTGACTGGTTACCAGTCCATCAGTGACTGGTTACCAGTTGATGGTTGACTGGTTACCAGTCCGTCATTGACTGGTTACCAGTTGATGGTTGACTGGTTACCAGTCCATCAGTGACTGGTTACCAGTTGATGGTTGACTGGTTACCAGTCCGTCATTGACTGGTTACCAGTTGATGGTTGACTGGTTACCAGTCCATCAGTGACTGGTTACCAGTTGATGGTTGACTGGTTACCAGTCCGTCATTGACTGGTTACCAGTTGATGGTTGACTGGTTACCAGTCCATCAGTGACTGGTTACCAGTTGATGGTTGACTGGTTACCAGTCCGTCATTGACTGGTTACCAGTTGATGGTTGACTGGTTACCAGTCCATCAGTGACTGGTTACCAGTTGATGGTTGACTGGTTACCAGTC